CACCTATTTACTTAGTGGGGGGAGGAGACTTGGAAGAACAAAGTTTATTCTGTTCCAAGATGGTTGATAACTTGATTTTAAATCCTGATGTCTGCCAATCATGCTGACGTTAATTTGGATGTCTACATTGCATTGTCGCTGGCTTGCAGCCCACTTGCAGCAAGGCTTCAGGATGGATAAGCTCCTAAAACAAATGGGCCTTTGTTCATTACTCACTGTTTTATGGACGAGTGAGGGATTTCAGAAGTATATAATCAATCTAGCTCAGACCTTAATACTGTATAGGTCCCTAAGGACGGATGTGGGGTCATGTATTACTCTCGGCTTAATTAGGTTCTGCTTTGTACTTCATCTTTCTTGATTCTTGCTTGGTGTCCTCTGTATTAATATTACATACTCTATCTTCCATTACAGAGCAGTGTTCTGTATTTTTCAAGTTTTGCTAGATATACGAGGACAGATGCTCTCCTTTACACCTTTCATAGCAGCCCTACCTCTTACAGGGTATATTGAACTGAAACTCTTTGCATAGCTTTGAGTGTGAACAGGGCAGAAATGCAAGATTTATGATCAGTTATTACATGTTTCTCATGCTCTTTCTGCCCTCTATGTGAGAGAGATGAATATAAGAAAAAGTGACATGAGCTAAAGCTTCAGGGTAAAGTCAAGGAAGTATAGAGGGAAACTTTCATTTTGATGCAAGCTTCAAATGAGAGAATATTTTTACAGAGAAATTTTGTCAGCCAGGTTTTTTGTATGTTCTTTGATGCATTGGAGAGTCTTGTGTATTGACAGCACCATTTCCCCTCATTGCTGGTTTTCCCTGCCTATTTGATCACGGCATCCCAAATGTATTTGGCATCAGCCTGTTGCCATGTAAGTTATTGTGATGCTACCAGTTCAGCAGAATGACTTCACTTGCCGATTCAAAGAGAAGAAAGAGAGGAAGCCTTTGTATAAACACAGATATATTTGGTAATTATCGAACCTAAATGAAAACAAATATCTGCTTTCTCTCCATATGGGTCCACTCACTGCTCCTCCCTCCCCCGTACCTTTTTCGTAATATAGTGGATACTTCCTCCTCTATGAAAGTCTCTCTTTAAAACCTAGAGGAAATTTTGAGGTCTAGTAGCAAGAGAATCTGTGGAGGGGGAAAGAGCTGTTTGTATCTCCCCTGGCCAGATGGATTGTGAGTGCAATTATTGACTTCTGCAGAGTTGCTCTCCTGTATTTCCTGTCTCCATGAAGACCTGTGCTAGACTGTAGACTGTTTGTAAAGGAAAAAGAAAGAGATAGAAAGGAAGTTACGTTGAAAGGTAGCTAGATACTATGGCTGCACCAGGATGCTGTCGTTATGGGGCCACCTGCAGCATTAATGCACAGTCTGCATTAGTAAAAAATTCAAGATAGGCTACAAATGTGAATAGTAGTGTGTCATCTTAGGATATTAAGGTGTTTCTCAGATACTTATATTAAAACAAATGAACCAGATGCTGTTGGAAAATTGACTTCTTTAACTAAAATCCTATATGGAGTGTGGTATATTTTCATAATGCAGCTTTGCACTTCCCTCCCATAGGTAAGAAACAGGGCTGAAGAAAGATTAGTCAGTACTGTATTTATAAGCGTAGGTTCCTACTGTTTTTATTAAGGTTCTTGCATTTATACTCCTATTCAAGCTCAGAACTGACAATGAACAATAAATTCTGCTGCTTCTATTTACTTTCATAGAGCTCTCATGAATCCCCTCAAAAATACAGCACATAAGAATGGGTAACACTATTTAATTTCACTGCACAACCTAGCTTATACATAGCTTAAATATGTACTGGATGTCTCAGGCAATAACTCACCAACCAGGGTTGTTGATCTAGCTAGTGAAACACATGCTTGTCACTTTAACTAATAATGGCCATGATTTATATCTAATGATTTAGAAAAAAATTTACAGACCATCACACAATGTATGCATTTTCACTCTCTTATATATGTGGCTATTTGAACGCTATTTCATCTGAACAGGAAAAAAAACTTGTTTACATAGCATAGCTCGGTTCATGCCCTTGAAGCACATGACTTAGCTAGCATAGCTGAAAACATATTTCCTACATAAAATGTATGAATAGCTGATCCTTTTAAAAATCCCACACATCCCACCACATAGCTTCTTGTGATGATGATTCCATGGATTAAAGAAATATTTCCTTTTCAGAGTAAAAGTTTTACAAAAGTTCCATTTTCCCTTTCAGTGTAAAGGTACTGTTAAAAATAAAAAATCCTGTTTAACTAGAAAACACAATCATATAAATAACTGATTGGTGATTCATAGAGCTGGAAGAGACCTCTATGGTCATCAAGTCCAGCCCCCTGCCCAAGGCAGGACCAATCTCAACTAAATCAATCCAGCCAGGGCTTTGTCAAGCCAAAACATAAAAACCTCTAGGGATGGAGATTCCACCACCTGCCTAGGTAACCCATTCCAGTGCTTCACCACCCACCTAGTGAAATAGTTTTTCCTAATGTCTAACCTAGACCTCCCCCACTGTAACTTGAGACCTTTGCTCCTTGTTCTGCCATCCGTCACTACTGAGAACACCCTCTTTCCATTCTCTTTGGAACCTCCCTTCAGAAAGTTGAAGTCGGCTATCGAATCCCCCCTCACTCTTCGCTTCTGCAGACTAAACAAACCCAAATCCCTCAGTCTCTCCTCTTAGGTCATGCGCTCCAGCCCCCTAATTATTTTGGTCGCCCTCCGCTGGACTCTCTCCAATGCGTCCACATCCTTTCTATAGTGGGGGGGACCCAGAACTGGACACAGTACTCCAGATGTGGCCTCACCAGAGCCAAATAAAGGGGAACAATCACTTTTCTAGATCTGCTGGCAATGCTTCTCCTAATGCACCCTAATGTGCCATTAGCCTTCTGGGCTACAAAGGCACACTGTTGACTCATATCCAGCTTCTCATCCACTGTAATCCCCAGATCCTTTTCTGCAAAACTGCTACTTAGCCATTTGGTTCCCAGCCTGTAACAATGCCTGGGATTCTTCCGTCCCAAGTGCAGGACTCTACACTGGTCCTTGTTGAACCTCATCAGATTTCTTTTGCCCCAATCCTCTAACCTTTCTACGTCACTCTGAACCCTATCTCTGCCCTCCAGCATATCTACCTCTCCCCTTAGCTTAGTGTTATCTGTAAACTTGCTGATATGTTTGGGATTCTTCCATCCCAAGTGCAGGACTCTACATTTATCCTTGTTGAACCTTGTCAGATTTCTTATGGCCCAATCCTCTAATCTGTCCAAGTCACTCTGGAACCTATCTCTGCCCTCCAGCGTATCTACCTCTCCCCCTAGCTTAGTGTCATCTGCAAACTTGCTGAGGGTGCAATCCATCCCCTCATCCAGGTCATTAATAAAGATGTTGAACAAAACAAACAGATCCTTGGGGCACTCTGCTAGAAACCAACCCCCCAAACCTGACATTGACCCATTAATCACTACCCTTTGGGCCTGACAGTCTAGCCAGCTTTCTATCCATCTTACAGTCCATTTATCCAGTTCATACTTCCTTAACTTGCTGGCAAGAATATTGTGGGAGACCGTATCAAAACCTTTGCTCAAGTCAAGGTATATCACATCCACTGACTTTCCCATATCCACAGAGCCAGTTACTTTATCATAGAAGCTAATCAGATTGGTCAGGCATGACTTGCTCTTGGTGAATCCGTGTTGACTATTCCTGGTCACTTTCCCCTCTTTCAAGTGCTTCAAAATGGATTCCTTGAGGATCCCCTCCATGATTTTTCCGGGGACTGAGGTAAGGTTGACTGGTCTGTAGTTCCCCAGATAGTCCTCCTTCCCTTTTTTAAAAATCTACATTTGCCTTTTTCTAATCATCCAGGATCTCTTCTGATCTCCATGAGTTTTCGAAGATAATGGCCAAAGGCTCCGCAATGACATTTGCCAACTCCCTCAGTATCTTCGGATGCATTAAATCTGGGCCCTTGGATTTGTGTATGTCTAGCTTTTCTTAATAGTTCCTAACTTGTTCTTTCCCCACCAAGAGCTGTCCACCTCCTTCCCCTACTGTGTTGCCTAGTGCATTAGTCTGTGAGCTGACCTTGTCTGTGAGGACAGAGGCAAAGAAAGCATTGAATACTTCAGCTTTCCCCACATCATCTGTTACTAGGGGTGTGTCTAAACTATACCCCTCTGTCGGCAGAGGGATATAAATTAGACACATCGGCTGCCGCTTTTTTCAAAATGGGGCTTTTTGAAAAAAAGGTGGTTTAGTTGGAGCTTTTTCGACAGAAATTACCCGTTTCGAAAAAAAAGGTACAGGATCTTTCGAAAGGGGACATTTCTGTCGAAAATGCCCTGTCTAAACTGCTTGTTTTTTTTTTAAAAGCCCCGTTTAAAAAAAAAAAAAGTGGTGAGCACCATTATGCAAATGAAGCATGGGATATTTAAATCCTGTCTGCATTTGCACTTTCAATGTGTCTAATTTACATCCCTCTGCCGACAGAGGGGTGTCGTTTAGACACACCCTAAGTTACCTTCCTCGTCCAGTAGGGGCCCCACATCCTCTCTGATTACCCTTTTATTGCTAACATGCCTGTAGAAATCTTTCATTACCCTTCACTTCGTTTGCTAGTTGCAATTCCAATTGCGCTTTCACCTTCCTGATAACTCCCCTGCATTCTCAAGCAATGTATTTATGCTCCTCCCTAGTCATCTGTCCAAGTTTCCACTTCTTGTAAGCTTCCTTTTTGTGTTTAAGCTCACCAAGGATTTCCCCGGTAAGCCAATCTGGTCGCCTTCCATATTTGCTTTTCTTGCTGCGCATTGGGATGGTTTCTTCCTGTGCCTGAATATTTCTAGCCTCTTGATCCCAACAGTATATGAAATTGTTATACTTTGGAAACGTTACTGTTGTACTATTCATATCAAAAGATTTGCTTGTATTATGTACTTACGATTATTCTTTGTTTTCACAGATATGCTCTTTCTTCAGGGATCAGAAGTTATATTTAAAGTGGCTTTAAGCCTGTTGGGAAGTCACAAGCCTTTGATTCTGCAACATGAGAACTTGGAAACCATAGTGGATTTTATTAAAAATACACTTCCAAACCTGGGCTTGGTACAGATGGAAAAGACCATTAATCAAGTATGAAACTATCTGAACATTTTCCTATTATTAAGAGAAATTATGTTCTCATTAAATAAGTTAGGAGGAGGAGTATTCTTTTGTAAAATTGCAGTGTAGAAAAGTGATTGTTGCTATTCCTAGTTGAGACTAGGTTACTAATTGTAGTTTAAAATATGTTTGTGAGGTTTTGGAACCATATTACTTATGCAGTACCTGGGCATCCTTACATATTAGTCATCATTAATCACACTGTTAATTACAGTTACAATTCTGATTTTTACTAAGTGCATTTAATTGATTTTCAGTTTGTTGGCATATATTCCATGTATAACACATTGTACAGGATAGGCAACAAAGTGAGCTGTGAATGTCCACTAAACTTACCCATTTACAGAGTGTTTGACTCTCCACATATAGTTTCAGAAGAAAAAAATAACTTTACTAGAGCCTTGTGCACATTAATGTTTCTTACCTGTGTCATAGATTTCTATGTCCTCATTATGTCTTCTCTACTGCATTGTATGATGCAAGTTTGTTAATGCATAGGAAGATGCTGTGGAACAGCAAACTTGTCTTCAAGACACAGTAGATGGGATGGTGCATCTCCTGCCTTCGGTCATAGTGCCGGGGAGCATGGAGACATCCCTCACGATGGCAGCTATTCTGTTGGGGAGGGGAATGATGAAACACTGATGTGACAAAATCTAAAAGTAGCCATCCTGCAGCAAAAAAACTTCAGGACCAGACTTCAAAGAGAAACTGCTGAGCTACAGTTCATCTTTAAGTTTGACACAATCAACTCTGGATTAAACAAAGACTGTGAATGGCTCGCTAACTACAAAAGCAGCTTCTGCTCTCTTGGAAGTCACATCTCCAGATCAGCTGCTAGAAGTGGGCCTCATCCTCCTTGATTGGATCCACCTCGTCATCTCCAGCCTGATCCTGGCCTGCATATTCATACCTGCCTCTAGATATTTCCACTACATGCATCTGACGAAGTGGGTCTTTGCCCATGAAAGCTTATGCTCCTACACTTCAGTTAGTCTATAAGGTGCCACAGGACTCCTCGTCGCTTTTGCAGATTCAGATTAACACGGCTACCCCTCTGATACTTGATGTGACAAAAGGTGATTCTAACAGATGTCACATATTCTCATGTATCTGAGCCCCCACGTTATCTGAATCTCTTCCTTGTCCCCCAGTGTGAGGTGCATACAACAAAGGGCATGTGTCTGAGGCTGGGGGGGGGGGGGTAAGGAAGGGATGGGGTAATATGGAGCTTTGGATAATAGAGAAGAGACTTGCAGTCAGGGTGGCAAAGAGGAGGATGACCCATGGAGTGCAGAGGCCACCCTGATGGTGAATGGCTAATGTGGCAGCTGGGGAACCTCTGCAGCCCTGGTGTCGTAGGAGTGAGGGAGCCTGCGCTGCTGCAGGATCAGTCACACCTGATCTTGGAAGGTGAGGAGGGAGAAGTGGCTGAGCAGACACTCACCCACCCCAAATCGGACTGTGAGGAGAAGGAAGGCACCCTGCTGCTGAATGACTCCTGCCCTCATTATCCGTACTCCTGATGATTTGAATAAATAATCTTGTGCTGTTCAGATAATCAGGAGAATATTGTATTTGTGGGCCTGTAAAGAACACAAATAACCCATGTTTGCAGGGGTCTGCCTAGTGACCCTCTTATCCTGAAAATGCCCTGGCTATGACAATTCTTCACAGTGAGGGAAAATACACCTGACCGGTATTGCTATTTTATTACTGTAGTGCCCAGGACCCCGGGTGCTAGGCACTGTATGAACAGAGAACTGAAAAGTGGTGACTTATTCCCCTCCTGAAGGCTTTCCTTTCCCCCAGACATGGTGGGGTTCATTCTGCAGCTGGAGCTTTACGCACCTGTCCAGAGGTGGCTGTGGGGGATGCAGATTGAGAGTGCCCTTCAACCCAGAAACATCCATGGTGAAAGCACTACAAACCCCCAGAAAACCTTGGGGGTGGGGAGGTGCCTTTCCATTTCCTGGCAGCGCTGCTCCCTTAAAACAAGCAGGCTCACTAAACTGGCTAAGGATTTTTCCCAAGGCTTAATATCAGAGGAAGAGGGGCAAAGTTAGAGGAAATCAGGGTTAAGGGAAGAAGGATGCTAAAAGTGTGGGTGCTCTGCGGCAGGTGGGTGCTCTGCGGCAGGTAGATTATGTACAGTGCACAAAGGCCAGAGTATAGTGCTGTGCTGCAAGACTCACACCTGGGTAAAGTGAGGGAAACTGCTGAATCTGAGCAGAAGCAACAAGGGGGCAAGGTTTACAGGGGCTTTCGAAAGAGGGTTTTTTTCTGACATTTGGCCATTTCCCTCTTCCGGGGAAAAAAAACCAGAAGAAGGTATGCAAATGCGAGCATTATTTGCATATCTCTTCTGAAAAAACCCCCCCACAGTGTAGCTGTACTTGCAGACTGCTGTAGTTGTAGTGCAGACAGGTAGAATGATCTGAGGGCTGAACAGCTGCTCTCCTTTGATTAGTAAGGGCTGATGCTAGAGAGAGCATCTGGTTTGATCATAGCTTCTTTAAGGCTACTAGGCAAACCCATATCCTCCTGCTTCCCCCAACTGTAGCCTGTGGCTTCCGTGCTATAACTTGCCCTAAGTTGGCTCGCTTTTAGGTTAAATTTTTGATTTTCCTAACATTCTGGCCTCTTGGAATTGATGTTTTGGTTATGACAGCAGGGACTACATTCCCCTTTCAGGGTGAAAGGAGATTTAAAGAGAGCAGTCGTGACAAAAACTAACAGCCTTGATGAATTGCATAGGCTGATTTTTGAAAGTCACAACTTTGTTTTCTGCAGAATTTTTTATGTGCCTAGAAAATGGAAATCCCATACATGCAAATGAAAAACAGGAAAAATAGTAAAAGACCTGTGTGGCTCCTTCAGCATCTCTTCAATGATCTGAAAATCAAAAAGGAATCCTGCAAAACATGGAAGTATGGGCAAATTGCTACAGATGAATACTAAAGAATGCAAAAGCAATTAAGGACAAAATAAAAAAAGCTAAGGCACAATATGAGTTTACACCTTGCAAGGGACATAAACAAAAAGAGGTCCCATAAAAACATTGGGAGCAAGAGAAAGATTAAGGAAAGTGTAGGTCCTCTACTTAGTGGAAAAGGATAGGTAATAATGAATGCTATCAAGAAATCTGAAGTGTTGAATTCTTATTTTGCTTCAGTCTTTACTAAAAAGGTAAATCGTGACCAGACTTTTAACACAATTAATGTTAACAACAAAAAGATTAAAGAATATTGAGATAAGTTAAATGTATTCAAGTTAGCAGAGGCTTATGAAATATACCCTCTAACAGAACTGTTAGCAATTATCTTCAAGATCTCAAGAAGCCTGGGTGAGGTCCCAGAGAACTGGAGAAGAGCAAACATAGTATTGGTCTTTTTAAAAAGGAACAAAGATGACCGCAGGGAATTATAGACCAGTCAACCAAGCTTGGATACGTGGAAAAATACTAGAACGAATTGTTAAACAATCAAATTATAAACATCTTGAGCACAGTAGGATAATAAATAATAGCTTATTTGTTAAGAGCAGATCATGCCAAACAAACTTCACACCCTCCATTGACAGGGTAGAATCATAGGGCTGGAAGAACCCTCAGGAGGTCATGAAGTCCAGACCCCTACCCAAACTAGGACCAATACCAACTAAATCAACCCAACCAGGGCTTTGTCAAGCCGAAACTTAAAAACCTCTAGGGATGGAGATGCCACCACCTGCCTAGGTAACCCATTCCAGTACTTCATCACCCTCCCAGTGAAATAGTTTTTCCTAATATCCAACCTAAACCTCCCCCACTGTAACTTGAGACCATTGCTCCTTGTTCTACCATCCGTCACTACTGAGAACACCCTCTCTCCATCCCCTTTGGAACCTCCCTTCAGAAAGTTGAAGGCTGCTATCAAATCCCCCCTCACTCTTCTGCAGACTAAACAAACCCAAATCCCTCAGCCTCCCCTCATAGGTCATGTGCTCCAGCCTTCTAATCATTTTGATCGCCTTCCGCTGAACCCTCTCCAATGCGTCCACATCCTTTCTATAGTGGGGGGGACCCAGAACTGGACACAGTACTCCAGATGTGGCCTCACCACAGCAGAATAAAGGGGAATAATCACTTCTCTAGATCTGATGTCAGTGTTCCTCCTAATGAACCATATTATGCCATTAGCCTCCTTGGCTACAAAGGCGCACTGTTGACTCATATCCAGCTTCTCATCCACTGTAATCCCCAGATCCTTTTCTGCAAAACTGCTACTTAGCCATTCGGTTCCCAGCCTGTAACAATGCCTGGGATTCTTCCGTCCCAAGTGCTGGACTCTACACTTGTCCTTGTTGAACCTCATCAGATTTCTTTTGCCCCAATCCTCTAACCTTTCTACGTCACTCTGAACCCTATCTCTGCCCTCCAGCATATCTACCTCTCCCCTTAGCTTAGTGTTATCTGTAAACTTGCTGATGGTGCAATCCATCCCCTCATTCAGGTCATTAATAATGATGTTGAACAAAACCAGCCCCAGAACCGATCTTTGGGGCACTCCGCTAGAAACCGACTGCCATCCTGACATCGAGTCATTAATCACTACCCGTTGGGCCTGACAGTCTAGCCAGCTTTCTATCCATCTTACAGTCCATTTATCCAGTTCATACTTCCTTAACTTGCTGGCAAGAATATTGTGGGAGACCGTATCAAAACCTTTGCTCAAGTCAAGGTATATCACATCCACTGACTTTCCCATATCCACAGAGCCAGTTACTTTATCATAGAAGCTAATCAGATTGGTCAGGCATGACTTGCTCTTGGTGAATCCGTGTTGACTATTCCTGGTCACTTTCCCCTCTTTCAAGTGCTTCAAAATGGATTCCTTGAGGATCCCCTCCATGATTTTTCCGGGGACTGAGGTAAGGTTGACTGGTCTGTAGTTCCCCAGATAGTCCTCCTTCCCTTTTTTAAAGATCTACATTTGCCTTTTTCTAATCATCCAGGATCTCTCCTTATCTCCACGAGTTTTCGAAGATAATGGCCAAAGGCTCCGCAATGACATTTGCCAACTCCCTCAGTATCTTCGGATGCATTAAATCTGGGCCCTTGGATTTATGTATGTCTAGCTTTTCTAAATACTGTAGTTCTTAACCTGTTCTTTCTCCACCAAGGGCTATCCACCTCCTTCCCCTACTGCGTTGCCTAGTGCAATAGTCTGGGAGCTGACCTTGGCTGTGAAGACAGAGGCAAAGAAAGCATTGAGTACTTCAGCTTTCCCCACATCATCTGTCACTAGGTTACCTCCCTCATTCAGTAAGGGCCCCACTCCCTCTCTGATCACCCTCTTATTGCTAATATGCCTGTAGAAACCTTTCTTGTTAGCCTTCACATCACTTGGTAGCTGCAATTCCAATTGCGCTTTCACCTTCCTGATAACTCCCCTGTATTCTCGAGCAATATATTTATACTCCTCCCTGGTCATCTGTCCAAGTTTCTGCTTGGTACTAATCTAGCAGATGGGGTAAATGTAGATGAGACATATCTTGATTTTAGTAAGGTTTTGACACTTTCTCATAAGCAAACTAGTGGAAGTTTGTTTAGATGAAATTACTGCAAGATGGATGTAAAACTGATTGTAAGATTATATTAAAAGAGTAGTTATCAATGGTTTGCTGTCAAACTGGGAGTATATATCTAGTGAATTCTGCATAGATTTGATTTTGGTGGGACATTATTAATATTTTCATTAATGACATGGATAATGGAATGGAGAGTGCACTTATAAAATTTTCAGATGATGCCAAGCTAGAAGGAATTGCAACCACTTTGGAGGACAGAAATAGTATTAAAAATGACCTTGATAAATTGGAAAATTGGTCTGAAATCAACAAAATGAAATTCAATAAAGACAATTGCAAAATACTACATTTAGGAAGGAAATATCGAAAGTACAATTACAAAATTGGCAATAACTGCCTAAGCAGCAGTACTCATCAAAAGAATCTGGAGGTTATTTTGGGTCATTAATTGAATATGAGTCAACACTATAATTCTGAGGTATGTTATCAGGAGTGTCATATGTAAGACATGGGAAATACTTGTCCTTCTCCATTCAGCACTGGGGAGGCCTCAGCTAAAGTACTGAGATCCAATCTTCAGTGTTTAGAAGCCTGAACATTTACACTCATATTTCAATAAAACTATTAGGGATTATTTTTATAATGTGGTAACATGGATTCTAAGTTTTTTACAGTAATTTTATATAGCTGATATGTTCTTAAATTATGTCCCTCCTCTAGCAATGAAAACGTTACCTCTTGTGTCCCAAAGCAAATGAGGAAAATAGGCAATATTTCTCATTACTTCACTAAGTATCTCAGATGGCAATTGAATTTTGATGTCTTTCCAAGAGAAATATGATACAAGACATTAAAATAAGGAACAACTGATTAAATTCAGTTTGAACAACCAAATAAATACTTGGGGTATTTTTTCCTATTGTGTTTTTATTAAGGGACTCAACTTTAGTTTTCCATTTGTTTCTGTAATTTGACATTTGGTCATTCTCATTTCATCTTTTCATTGCTTTCAGGAAGGTTGTTTAGGGACCTTAGAGTAATATTGACTACCACTTAACCCTCCTAGAAAATTGGAAAGTGGATATACTAAAAACAGAGGGAAGACCATTATAGCATTTCTGTCTTCTGGGTCTCTCTCAATGCAGTTTACTTTATTTGCCTTTAAAATAGAAGGTCTCTTGGGCAGGGTGTGGCTCAGTATCTGTCTTGATAAGGATTGAGGACATTGTCAGTGATTAATAGTTAATGATTAATAGTGGAATTCTGCTTCAACATGGTGTAATGTTTCCTCTGAAATCTTTTGAAGTAATTCTAGAATTTTAATATTTTTAGGCACTAAAAATATTATTACAGTAAATAACAAGATCAGAAATAGGTGAAGTAGTTTGCCCACAGAGATATTTATGTGAAGCTTTCACAGTACTATACAAAGGTAGCTAAGTTATTAACTACATTTTATGTGTGTGGTGGCTGAAGCATAAAGGGGCTTGAACTACAGTTTTTAAAATGACATCTAAATTTGGGTACCTCCATTTTTGGATGCCCTACTTGACTTAACCTTGGTACCTAAAATGGTGGACAGTTTTTGAAAACTTTGGTGTATGATTTTGAGAAGCAACTTACAATAAGTCCGTGTCAGAATTTGAAATGAACTCACGTCTGACTCCCATGTATGTCATCTACCCATTGGACATCACTGCCTCAAGGCTAAGCAATATAAGCTAAAAAGTAGCCTACACCCTAAAAATAAACCAATAGACTTTGTATGCATTTGGTTCTCTTGATCTTCATAGTGTCTAATACTCTTATGTATGTAACAGGTGTTTGAAATGGATATTGCCAAGCAATTGCAAGCTTATGAAGTGGAATACCATGTGCTACAGGATGAGTTGATAGATTCTTCTCTCAATGACAATCAGAAAATGGACAAGTTGGAAAAGGCAAACACTAGTTTGAGAAAACAGAATTTTGATCTGCTGGAAGAGCTGCAGGTACTGTTTGTATTTCCTAGCTAATGAGCCAATGACACCATTGTTAGCTCATACTTTCAGAAGAGACCATTGTAAAGAGAAGAAACCTAATGGAGATCAAGGTCTTCAGTATGTGTTATTTACAATTTTTACCAACTGATATTTAAAACCTTTTAAGTTTGACTGGAGCAGAGATTCCTGAGCCTTGTTGATGGTCTGTGGAAAGCAGACTGGGGTCCCATGATGCTGGCTCACTTTAATTAATGAAATTTAGTAGCTGGAAAAACCCTCTAAATGCATTTATGCAGTCTGAATCATACCTTCTCATTTAAGCAGTTGCTGTAGTTGCAGTGCAGATAGTCACAAAGCAGAGAGAGATGGTGTTTGGGATCATGAATGGGAGAGATGTTTATGAAACACATTCTCTATTAAGATACAATTATTTTTTATGAGAAAGTTTGAGAATCTATGGTCCAGGATGATTAGAAACACACGAAATAGCATGTCTTTTTGTCCAGTGTCTGACCTCAGTCCATTCAGTTTACAGTTCTGTTGGTGACTGCTTCCAAACTCGCCCTGGCTATGTCTAGACTGCATCCCTCTGTCGACAGAGGGATGTAAATCAAGCACATTGAAATTGCTAATGAAGCAGGGATTTACATATCCCACACTTCATTAACATAAACATGGCCTCTGCTTTTTTGAAACGGAGCTTTTTTTAAAAAAAAAAAGGCAGTCTAGACGCGGATCTGTCGAAAATAAACCCTTTTTCGACAGATCCTGTATTTCTCAAAATATGAGGCTTACAGGATCTGTCGAAAAAGGGTTTATTTTCGACAGATCCGCGTCTAGACTGCCCCTTTTTTTGAAAAAGCTCCGTTTCGAAAAAAGCGGCAGCCATGTTTATGCTAATGAAGCACAGAATATTGAAATCCCTGCTTCATTAGCAATTTCGACATGCCTAATCTACATCTCTCTGATGACAGAGAGGTGTAATCTAGCCACAGCTCCTGTGGTGGTACAGTTGTTCTCTGAAGAAACTGATCCACTGAACTCTTCAGGGCTCCTTTCTGCAAAGAAACATTTTAATGCAACTTCTGAGTTCAGGGGCAATTTGAAGGGAATATGGGGGTTGGAGATGGGCTCTCTATTTAGATTTTCAAGCATCTTAGATCAAAAACAAAAACTTGGAAGGTAGATGACATCGTGGGTAGGATGGGGAATACAGGCTTTTGGTATCTTATTCAAATCCTATTCAGTTTGGTAAAAGTAACCAGTTGGTTTGCTTCTAAGTCATTGGCAGACATATTTTTTCCTTCTGCATCATGATGTTTCTGCACTTTGACACCCTGTGGAGTGTAATTTTGTAGTGAGTAGCGCTCTGGATTTATAGTGATGCTATCCTTAATTAAAAGATGGCAACTAATAAATTTAAAGATCTGTTAGCTGATTATTTGTAGATTTAACTTTTCAGTCTTCTCTGCTTGGTTATATTCTAGGTTTAATCACACTAAAGCCTGAACAATACAGATTAGAGAAAGGGGAAAAAAATGGATAATGCTATTTATAAGTAATATTACGTTTGTGGAAGTAACGGTACATATGTTTAATTCAGTGTGTGTTTATAATAGAATTTCCAGTTATGTAGAAAACATGACCCATATCGGTAGAACTTTGTAAAAGCGTGAGGGACTAAGGAGAACTCTGTCTGTAAGGTCTACTGGTTTCATAGCTTTTAGGAAATCTTGTTTTCTTTTTATCATTAAGGTGGCAAATGGAAAGATCCAAAACCTAGAAGCTGAAGTAGAAATGTTATTGAGCAACGAGTGCAAATTAAAGCAATCCATTCTCACTCTAGAGCTGGAGAGAAAAGCTTTGCTGCAGACAGTAGAGGATCTGCGCATGCAGACCGACAGCCCAGGTGGAAAACCTCTACTTACCAGGCAAGAGTGCATGGATGCCAACTGACAGCTGCAATTGTAAAGGAGTAGACAAGCTCCACAAAGACAAAGGGAAGAACTGGTTTTTACTTCCATCATTAGGATTTTACCCTGTCATCTTAGCATTGTCCATGCCTTACTGTAGCCGAGTTAGGGAATGGGAGTGTCTGCACAAATATGAGAAGCACGTTTCTCAGGGAGGAGACTCTTGCTTGTTAACTTATGGAATTCTGATGAACTATAAAAATACACAATATAAGGAAAAATTTCTCTTTCACTAAATAATATATCTGCACTCCAGATACAATGTTTGTAAATATCTGCATTCACAAACTCTTCCATAAGTGCTTCTAAACCTAAATGCTTTATATTGGTTACTTGTGTTCCTTTTTGTACTTAGATAACTCCACCTTAAAATGAGATGTCCTGTAAAAGGCTGGAGAATTGTGGCAGTGAAGGGACTCTGCCTTTTTGGGGCTACAGGGTATTAGCATTCACAGATAGCTTTGTGATTATACTCAGTAGATTTCTGAGAATGTAATTCCCCTGCAGCTTGGCTGTGTTCCACTAATCATTTTATTAAGGCCCCTCCGATAGACGTTTTGTGTGCTTAAAGGTGTTAATTTAGTAGACCATGGAGAGATGGCCTTGGTTGTATGTAACTATAATTAATTCTGGTGCATTTTGCCATCAGTTTTTATGAAATATACTGTTTTAATATGTTTTGTTTTGACATCCAACATTTTAGGGTTGTTGTTTGACACAATCTCATAAATGTACCATTGAAGGTAACAGAATTTTACTTTCTCTACAGAATACACTGACATTGTCAAGGTGGAGTCTGCTACTCTCACAGCATTGTAGTGGATTTATCTTCATACCGTAAAGAGTCATTTTATTTATTTGTTTCTGATCTGCTGTATGATGTCAGACATCCTCTTTCAGGAAAGCAAATGCCTCTGGCTATTAGTTTCATTTGGTACTCAGTGCCCATCTATCCTTTAGTGAAGAACAATATTTAAGACTTTCTCTGAGATGGTAGAGGCACTTCAAAGCTTGATTTTTGCACCAGACATACTGAAACTACTTTATAAAGGAAGTTTGAATTAGAGCCGTGGTCTATTTACAATGTATCTTTTGAGCAAGATTACACATTGAAGAGAGCTTACTTTTCTTTAAAATACAATGAACAGCATTTTCAGGCCAGTTAAAGTACCACTGTTTCAACCACAGGTGCTATAACATCCCAGGGTATCCAGTTAACTTGGTTGCTGTTGAATTAGACCAAATAGTACCACAATTTGTTCTTCCCAAAACTCAGAGTTACAGGCACCAACTTGCTGCTGTATTAGAAATCAGTATTTCAGAGGTGAGTTTCCTAAATTGGGTATTTCTTATTCTTAACATTTCAGTGCACAGTTATTTCTCTAATCTACAGTGTGGTGAAAGATCTTTTATTTTTATGCATGCTTCTTTATGGTACAACATTCTGCAATGTGTACCACTGGTGTGGATGAAATACCACCCTGTGGATTAAATTGGAGAATTTGTTGTGTAATTTCTAAGACACAGATTGACTCCTGTAACTTCTTAGATGTGACTGGTTTTTACAAATCCATTCTATTCACATAGTGTCTAAATTCCATACAAGTGAGACTTTGCAAATCTCTTTCCTCTTATGTTTGGTTTTTTAATTGTCTAGCCATACAGAAGCTCACACTTAACATTTTAAAATTTCTTTGCATCACGCCCTTACTGTTTGAGGATTAAGTTAGGTTGACTTTGGACATCTTGGGTTATTACTCATACATTGGCTTTTTATATTAAACAAAAGAGCAACAGAGAAAAGTTAATGATCCATGCCAAAATTTATGTTTGCAAATTTTATTAAAGGTAAGAACAAAAGTAAAGTTCTCTATATGATAGTTCATAAGCTAATATTTTAAGAGTTTTTCTGTGACCACAGTATGATTTTTAAATAGTTATTAATGAAAACTGATGCACATCAAACTTTTCTAGACACACTACGTACCCAGTTGTGATCTTGGACTGAGCATCTGTATCTCTTGGCTCACAATGTATATTTTTGGTATGACTCAAGGAGTGCAGTAATTTGGCTGGTGTTCTGCTTCTCTTTCAGTGTAAATGCAGAAAAGCTTCTGGCCTAAAGATCTTTTAAAGAATTTCTTTTCCTCCAGACACTATGTGTGGAAATGGGAATTCGAACAGCTCTTCCCAGAGGAGAGTGTGGTTAGTAAGTAACATGTTTGTGAATTTGACTTATCCAGGAAACAAAACTTTCGGTAGTGAAACCTATCCGTGTGCAAATGCACCACATCTTCCTAAAGTTGCAAGTACCTCACCTGATAGACACACTGAAACTTAGGTTCTGATTATTCACAGGACAGCTGCAGTAGAACCTTCCCTTGCCTACATGGAATCAGATGCCTGTGCTGTTCCAGTGGAATCATTTTCCTCCCTCCTCTTCACTGTGCCACTAAATCTCAAGGCAGGAGCAGGATGAAAGAGGCCATATTGGGGGGAGTAAGACAGAGGTGCCCTGCTCCGAGTCACCAACCATTGCAAAGCCCAGGTGTTTCTATATAGAAATGAGAGCAGTAATATAGCTTGGCACTATATGACACCTGACACACACCTTCAGGTCCCTTTTGCTCCTGCGCAGTCACAGGGCCCTCTACTAATACTGGTACAGTACCTGCTGGATCTGTGTTACCAGGGGGAGAGGATCCTGAACAGCAGCAACTATCCCTACAGGCAGGCTGCTGTGTCAGAACCTGTTGTTAAGATCTACTAGTGAATTGGGAACCCATAAATCCGTACCCCAGTCCCCACAAGGGAAAAATCCTCCCTTTCTCCAGAGTCTGAGGAAAGCTGCAAGTTGAAGCTCACAATGTTTTCTCCCCCTGGCCTCTCCCACGGGTGATTAGTCTCTCCCCTGCCCTGCCACCCCGATGGTCCACAGGCCTGAAAAAAAGGAGGGAAAAGGAGATCAGTTCCCCCAGGAGATGCTCCCAGGAGTTCACTTCCGCACACAGCTTGCACCTTAACAGGTGCTGAGCTATTCTCATTCTGTGAGTAATGTGAGCATGCTGATGATGCACACTAATGTACCAGCTCAGAGATGCACTGTGAGCAGGACAGGATGTCACCTGGGGCAGAAGAGAAACTTGATCCCTAATATTGCAAGAGGTAATCAAGCCATCTGCAGCAAGAAAGCATCTGCTCCACTTGGTGCTTTGCTTCTGATAACAGCAGTCAACTGCCGTCCATGGCCTGTGGAGCTGGTGTAGCATGTGGAATGCCACCCACAATAGCAGGCTGAGGAAATGCTGCTGCCCATGTTGCTGGCTTGTTGGCATTTCTATGTATAGGCTCATTTATTTTTAAGAGATGATTAGAAAGAATAAATATGACATAGTGTCCGTCATCTGAGGAGGTCCATGCACTTTACAAAGGTGGATAAGCATTATTATTCCCCTTTGCTGCAGAGTGAGGAAGTAAATCACCAAGGAGTTGAGAGATTTGTCACAGGTTGCACAAGTTGTTAGTGGGACATGGGACTAAAATCCATGTCTTCTGAGTCCCAGACCTGTGCTCTTAAACACTAGATAATGATTTCCCTAATTGCTTACTGCAGGAACCTCTGTCTTTCTCTTATGTTACTGTGGACTTCAGAGTCATGGTATTTTCTTTTTGCTTTCGATTCCCCTTTTCCCTGCCTTGCTCCAAATTGTACACTCCACAATGAGAGTGCTTCTTCACAGTTTCGAAGGTGGTGGATAAGCACTAGGCCAGATTCTGTGCTGTAGATTCTGGCACTAATTACAGAAGTGTCTTGGAGCTAGAGTGACTACTAGTAGCTTCCTCAGACTTCCTAGCATGCTATTCTGAAGCTCGTAGTTTCCTGAGGACACAGTGCTGGAGCAGTATAAAAAGGGGACAGAGCATGGTCTAGAATCTGACCCAATGACTGTAATTACACTCCTCTCCCATTGAAAACACACACACAGTTGTAGTTCAGCTGGGGAACTTGGCGCGCGCTCTCTCTCTCACGCACGCGCGCGCAATTCAGCTGGGGAACTTGGCTTACAGAGAAGAATGTGAGCCTGGGGCACCACAACTTTATTTTCATATTTTGGGGCTTTAGCTGAAATTTTCCATGGAAACCAAACACTTACAATTAAGAATTTCATTTAGTCAAAATCCAGTTTTCTGACCAAAGCCAGATTTGAGGGGAAATTTCTGACCCACCTAACTTAATACACTACATTAGCATGTATATCCCCATAGGTGAGACTCATGTAGGTATTACAGAATAGGGATGTGAATGTTGAACCTGTTAGTGGGTAACCATGGGTAAGGGGCTGTTCCAGCCTCACAGGGGGCCAGTCACAGGGCGCTGGAGCAGCCTCTGTTCGTGGTGGACCCCCGTTCCCTCCCACACACACATGCACACACACAACCACTGGTAATGGCATCCAGAGCAGCCTCTGTCTGCAACGGGCCTAGGTGCCCAGTTGGAGCAGCTCCTGTCTGCACTGGGGGGGTCTGTTCCAACCCAGAGTTGAGAGGAGGGGAAGGAAGGTGCTTCAACCCAACTGCACTGGGTTAATTGGCTGTCTGGTATCAGAGGGCAGAGTTGTGATGGGCACCAAATCGTTTTGGTTTCAGAGGTTGGAGATTCAATCTGTTTTTGCTTATTATTAGGAATGAAGTACTTGGGCTGGGCTAGAGAGCAGGGATGAGAGCAAGTCTCATGAAAGGACATAGGATTTTACAAAATTCTATTTCTCCCATTGGTCAGAGGAAAGATGAGGTACAAGCATGAGCCCCATTGACCAAGGGAAGGCAGATGGGGAAGTTGGAGTTCTATAATGATTTGTGTATTGTGTTTGATAACGGCAAGAGTCCCGAGATCTAGCATGGGTGTTCTTTTATGTTGTAGTCAAATAAACGTCCATTAATTAATGGAAGTTCTGTAGCTGACCCGAGGGAGAAAAACAAATCAGATTTTTTTATATGCCTTTTTATTTTATCACCATTCCCATTCTTTTCAGTGCATCTGTCATGTTTATTTGAAGACAATTTCACTCTTACTGTGGAATAAGAACAACACTTCTGTCAAGTTTTAAGGCTACCTGGTAATGGTCTCCACATTCAAGCTTAACAGTTACACATTCTCCCCCTTACGTTTAAGAGACTCATTCCTACAAGCCTTACACTTGTTAGCAATTCCGGGCAGTGCCATTGTGTGTGACAGGAGTGAAGCTTTGCATGATCATATCCTGAACTTTATTCCTGGTATCTAGCTGTGTAAATGATTTCCACATATCTTTTGTGTGTATACAATGTATAAATGACTTGTATTTTTATATCAATGAACTTCAGTGTGCACGTTGCAGTTTTTATCCAGTAAATTTAATTTTAAATGTTAACTACTTCTGGTCTTGTTCTATCAAATAACTATAGTGATTGTGTGTGTTAATATCAGTGTTTGCATTACACTTCTTTCCACCTGTATATTTTTTTATTATAGTAAGCACATTCTGTATGGAAGTTAGTGTGCTATAACTTGAATACACAGCTGATTAACAAAATGAAAATAAAGCACTGGTTTATTTATATAACTTAAAATTGAAATCTATTTGATGGATTCTGTTGCATAGGGCAAAAATAGCTACTAATGTCTGAAAGACCCAAACTTCATCCATTCAATGACATACGGCGCTGTCTTCCACAATAAGTCTGATGCATTCACATCCGGATTGGCTATATGTATTATTAACTTTGTATACACCTTTTCTGCCAGTACAGGCAAGCAGGCATTACACGATAATAGGACCATTAAACTGCATGCTTTAATTTTAGAAAAGAAAAAATGCTCTGTGGCTGAAATGCTGGCCTCATTGCAGTCAGCTGGCGTTTTGCCACTGACTACAATGGCACCAGGATTTCACTCAGGATATATGTGGCATGGAAGAACAGAGCAGAAAAAAACCAAACAAACTGTTTTTCTAGATCTAATGGATTTAACATTTTAAATCCTGTTATTAACAACTGAAGGAATTCCTGTTGTTTCTAGACACACATGATCTTTGTTACTGATTCCTTCCAGTTGATGTTTCCCTCCATCCTGTACAGAAATCCATGCCATGGCACTCTCAGATCCCATTTCCTTTTTCTCAAAAGCTCAAACTTCCCTGCCAATCTGTCCGGAGTTTAAAAACATTACAGATAAGTTGCATCTGCACTAGTAGGGGTATGGGTATGAGGGAATGGATAATGCCAGCATCATAACCTCCATTTACCCATTGAATGTCTCTCCAAGATGCCTGTTAGTTGGAGTGTTGAGTGAATGGGGATTTTGAGGGCTGAGCATCAGAGTGAATGTATCTCCTGCTTCTTTGCTAATAAGGTTCCATGGGGTTTGTTCATGTAATTGGAAGGTACAGGTTGGATCTCCCCGGTCTGAAACCATTGGAATCTGACTGGTCTGTACACCATCGGAGCTCCCTGCTGCTGGGCTCTTGGCCACGCCGTGAGTCTCCCCACGCCACCAAAGCCCCCCTGCTGCAGGGCTCCTAGCTGTGCCAGGAGCTCCTCACACCAGTGGGGCCCCCACTGTGCCATGGGGCTGCCAGCCTCACCACTGGCCTCCCTACCTCTGGGATTTCTGGTCCATGAACATCTATGATGTTGTCGGACCAGAGAGTCCCAGTTCAGGGAGGTACAACTTGTATTTCCAGGAATCTGAAGGCAATTGTCCAATAATAAGAGGGCAACTGTAGTATTTCCATTAAAGACTCTTATAATGGAACAGCTGTGGGGAGATGACTAGACCAATGACTATAAGATACTTTAAAAGGAATGCAGAAAATCTAGCACATAGATGAGCCAAGTTTTAACTGTAACAAAAGTATTTTCTGTTCCATATTTGGAAACAGTTTTTTAAAAAAACCAAAATCCACAATTCTTTTAGCAAGACAGTTCCCTGGACCTGATGGATAGTGTTGAGCTTCATTAAATACTACTATGCTTTGTAAAAGTGGGGGAGAGAAGTAAGGAATCACATGTTAAAAGCTGTGCTTGCTCAATCTTCTACCTGAGTGGAGGGTAGGCAGATGGTTCCTTCCTTTTCATTGAAATGATTTTGATGATTTTCTCTCTCTAATCCAAAACTCTTTTTCCTAATTTACATAGTCTGATTAATATCTTGATAATTCACCACATTTTTCCCCCTCTTGCAAGTGGCCTGTTTTTAGAAGAGCATTTTTATTTGTGGGCACGTAACTTTTATTTAAATCATAATGCATCTGAGGGAGACACTATACGGACCTATAATAGCTGAGCAACTTTTTATATGTATTTCCAGATACCTCTATTGTGGCCTCTTCTGTGTATCTCAGGGCATATCTATGCTGCAGGGCAAAAGTCAAATTAAGATACGCAACTTCGTAGCTGAAGTCAAAATAGCTTAAGTTGGCTTTTAGCACTGTCTACACAGCAGAAATTTGAAGGAAGAACACTCTTCCTCCGACTTCCCTTACTAATTAAATGAGGGTTACAGGGGTCAGAGTAAGAAGTCCTCCAGCTCGACATTATTTTGAAATACCAGCTTGCCGTGTAGGTGTGCATTTTGTTATTTTGAAATCATCATCATCGTCGTCGTCCTTCACACCCACTGGAGTGTAGGGCAGTAAGAAAGGTCTTCCACTTCTGTCTGTCTCTGGCCAGCCTTTCAGTAGTGCCCCAAGTGTAATTCATGCTCTTCATTTCTATTTCAGGAGTCCAGTGCACAGCAGTCTTTGTGATGGAGCTTCCATCTTTCCTGAGAACATGCCCAATCTATCTCCAGTGCCTTTGGATAGTAGCCATGTCATCTTGTTTACACTGTGCAAGCAGGTCCTGATTAGAAATTATTCTTGGCCAAAAAAATACAGAGGATCCTCTGAAGACTTCTGGTGTGAAAAGTCTGCAATTTATTGAGGTCGTACTCTGTCATCTGCCAGCATTCCGATCCATATAATAGTGTTGATAAAACACAGCTCTGATAAAACTTCAGTTTGGTATGGATGCTGTACTGTGACGACTTCCATACAGCATTCAGACTCATGAAGACATTTCTGGCTTTACTGAGTCTGCTCTGAATATAACGTGCGGCGCCCCTGCCTGCACAGCCGTCAATGGCCGTGACATCATCACGGGGCGCCCCAGTGCCTCATGACGTCATCATCGAGAGCCTGGGCCAACGGCGCCCTAGGCAGCTGCCAACCTTGCCTAGGCTCACGGCAGCCCCTGACTTTCATACAGCATTCAGACTCATGAAGACATTTCTGGCTTTACTGAGTCTGCTCTGAATATAACTTCTGACACCTCTGTCTTGCCTGATAATACTACCCAAGTATGTAAAGCTCTCTGTGATAGGTAGGTTGTGGTCATTGATTTTAACTGATGCTGGTGCCTCAATATTTAGGGTCATGACTTCTGTCGTCTTCTGGCTAACTGTTAGTCTGACCCATTTTCCGAATGTGCAGTCGATTTGTTGTGGTATTCCATATGCTCTCAGAATACTCCAAAGACTATCCCTATGAACGCTGTCAAAGACTTTTTTGAAATCAATAAAGTTGATGAACAACTACCTCTGCCATTCAATGCATTGCTCAGTGATGCTACGCAGTACAAAAATTTGATCTACGCACCCCCTTCCTTTACGAAGCCAGCTTGTTCTTTCCTCAGTGATTTATCAACAGCATCTACAATCCGCTGAATAATGATCTTAGCAGGGATCTTTCTTGGAACTGAAAGGAGAGTGATGCCGTACCAGCTGTTACAGTCATTGAGTGCTCCCTTCTTGGGTATCTTAACAATAATTCTATTTGTCCTTTCCTCTGGCATCTGCTTCCCTTCCCATATTGCTGTAAAGAGC